CCCCGTAACCTGGACCTTTAGTCAGTTGACTCAGTGTTAAATTCTAAACAACTTTGCTTCATAATAACATAAAAAATGTTCATCAGTAAAATATACAATATTTGACATTGACATTGACCCAGTGACCTAGACCTTGAGTCATTTGACTCCTTGTTAAAGTCCGACCAACGTTGCTTCATAATGTCATAACAAAATGTTCATCAGTGAAATGAAACAAAATCTTGCATTGACCTTTGATCCAGTGACCTTGACCTTTGATCAAATTACTCCTTGTTTAATTCCGACCTACATTGCCTCAAAGTGTCATAACGAAATGTTCATCAGTGAAAATATGCTAAATTTGACCTTGACCTTCGACCCAGTGACCTTGACCTTTGGTAAAATGATTCATTGTTTAATTCTGACCCACTTTGCTTCAAAATGTCATAACGAAATGTTCACCAGTGAAAAGATACTTAATTTGACCATGACCTTCGACCCAGTGACCTGGACCTTACGGCAGTTGACCTCTTGTTATATTCTGACCCACTGTGCTTCATAATGTTATAACAAAATGTTCATCAGTGAAAAGATACAAAATTTGACCTTGATCTTTGACCCATTGACCTTGACCATAAGTATGTTGACTCCTTGTTTAATTCCGACCAACATTGCATCAAAGAGTCATAACTTTAAATATTTTTTAACTCAGAAAAGCTATTTAAGCTACCCCTTCCCCTTAGTTTTTAATGCCAAAATCCTCATGTTTTCACCATTGTGTTGCAGATTTAACGTTTGATATAAAACGTTCTGCTATTAAAATGTTTACACAATTTTAGCGAATCAAAAGAATGTAGGTTTCTCTTTCTAAAATAGCCATATTGATTTCATTATACTGAACATTATAAAGTTGTTCAGCGAAAAAGGACTTGCTACAATCTAAAATTGCGACACACTGACAATTTAAGTGATCTATCTAGAGTAAAAAGAGTGAAATTTTATCTTTTCGTGACGCGCAAGAAATACACAGAAATACACATTTTCAAAATGGCCTCTATTAATATTTGCTATTTAAATTAATCATACTTTATTTAATATTTCATTTACCCCTAACACGAGATCAAAACGAAACCTGAAGGCGTTTGAACCTCAGAAAAGTTCATCCTAAACAAATACAATGTTTATGAAAGAGATTGTTAAATAAATTCAAGTGGATTTTTATTGAAAAAAAATCATGAGGCGGTTAATGATCCAAAACGCCCCAATTCCTTTACAATCCCTCTGACGTTAATTAAAAAATACAAATAAACAAACTCTTAAACAAATAGTTTGACAATAACAACTCCATCAAATATGTATGAAAAAATACAAAGTGAAATATTAGCTAATATCTCACCAGAAAGATTCTGGATGGATAAAGTAAGGAAAGCAATGAAGTGTAAACGCAACGTTTAATAGCATACAAAATCGATGAAACAATGGAGTTGGTTTTCCGGAAGAGAAAGCGTTCTCTGCTTTATCATCAACATACGCCATGCATGACTAGGTAAAATTCAAAAAGTGAAAGCCTTCTCGATCCTTGAACAATCTGCACCTACATTAAGTCCAAATAATGTCTTGTTATCAAATGGATAACTGAGGTAATGGCAACAAAACCACCTACACGTATTCCAGCAAATTTAGAATTCACACGAGTAAACATGAGAAAATAGCTGAAGAAAACAAAAATGACATTTATTTGGTCAACAGTGCTCCAAAGGAAAAGGAAACACTACGATACAAAATATAATTTCAATAATAAAATTGCATGGCTAACTCCTTTTTACATATACACTACGAAATTGTACAGTCATTGAAGCAGTAACTTATTTATGTTGATGCGAAATAGGATCTTAGAGTGGTGATGACCTTGATACAATGAATAATATTAATATGATATGATGGCAGACCTTCAAATGCTGCATGAAGTTTGAATGATAAGTGAACTGAATCTTACGCACGACTTTTGGGCAAATAGTAACATTGATGTGCTGAATGAATATTAACTGATGCGATATAGAGTCTGAACCTTATCTGGAGACACTGAACAACCCATTTTTGGTGTAGGACAGCCAGACAATGAGTGCTGAAAACTCTTTAGAAATATAGAAAGGGAACATGATGCATATTTGATTATTGAGAATTTCTGGTTGACCTGATGGATGGTTGTATGAACAATCTACAAAATGAATAGCTTTAACAAGATATCTTTAAAACATGTATATAGACACTGGCTATCATGATCCAGGTGAATGCATGAGGTGGATATCTGATATGTATACAACGTCAACCAATGGCTGTCCGTCGCAACAACAACAACAAAAACTGAGAGTTTACGAAATTAATTAGTCTACAAACATTTTATTGGTGGTTAAATGATCAGTGTTTTGTTTCACCAATTGATCAAATTAGTACATCAGATACGACTAAAATAGAACAAATAAATTATAAAACCGAATCTAAACGCGGGAAATTTCGAGCACCTCTTATAAGTTTAAAGGTGGGGGTCAACATTTGGCCCCCACTTGGATGTCTTTTATTCTTTTGTCATATGTAGACACATAAAAATGGTCCATAACTGCATAAATGTTTAATCATAACTGCTACTGATAACCGTAGTGAACCTCCTTGTATAACACCAGGTTGAGTGATGGGGGTATCCTAACAAAATTATAGATGAATGTCACAGGATAATGCTATTTTGAAAATGAATTATGATAGTGTACAGTGTATAACATAACTGTTATTTTGATACTAAATATGTCATATTGGTATATATGAAGTAAGTGTAGTGATACTTTTAATTAGACAAACATGCAAAAATATTCATAAAATTTAAAATATAATCACCATGGTCAACTTGCCTATATATAGTTACAGTGGTAGTCTATATTTTAAACTTCTTTAAAAACTTTCCATATATGTATTCTGTCTACTGAATCATTTTTTTATGTATTATACAAACCTAAAGTACTTTATTGGCATACCAAACATGACCAATGCCCAATTTCATATAATCTTGAAGATTTGATTATCAATGTCTATTATGGTAATACCGATACATTTTCTGTTTTTGTATCATACCAAAACACTTTATTATATTCCGCATGCTTTGCAGTTATGTGCAGCAGTTATAACTCATGAATAGTCTGCCAAAGTAATCTATCTCTGGAGAGCTACTTAAGGTTGAGATTGTGTTATAGACAAAGATATGCAATTATATAAAAAACAATCAAATAATTTTAATAGTAAAACTATTATACACTTTAGTATACCCCTGCAACATAGTTAGGGAGTAAACTGGAATCAGCTTGTCTGTCCGTCCGTAGAAACAGATTGTCCGGACAACTCCTTCTAAAGTAATGGACCAATTTCAGCGAAAGTTTCCAGATATGATAAATACCACCTCAAGTTATGCATCCAGGTATTATGTTTTCATTTTAATCCTTTTTTACAAAGGTATGGCTCTTTGATGAAAAATTCTTGTCCAGACATGTCCTCCAAAACTAAGGGGTCAATTTCAACGAAACTTTTCAGATATAATAACTTCCACCTGATGGTGTGCATCCAGGTATATTTTTTTTCAATGTGACCCATTTTTTACGGAGTATTGGCCCTTTGTTTAAAAATACTTGTCCTGGCAACTCTTTAAAAAACTATGGAGCCAATTTCAACGAAAGTTTACAGATATGGTAACTGCCCCTGGCATTGTGCATCCAAATAGTATGTTTCATTCCGAACCTTAAAAAAGGAGTTATGGTCCTTTGAAAAAGAACATTTGTCTGCCTCATAAACTACTTTCAACGATTTCAATGAAAGTTTACAGAAATGGTAATTACCCTCTGATGTCGTGCATCAGGATAGTACTTTTTTCATTTCGATCCTTTTTAAGTTAAGGGCAGTTATGGCCCTTTACTAAAAAACTTTGTCTTGACAGCCCTTCCTTAACTACTAGGGCGACTTTAGCAAAACTGGTTCATCTGGGCTAACAAGTTTTGGTATGGAAGTATGTTTTGAAATGGGGAGGGAGTACAGGAAGTATGAGTATGACAGTGACATATATGCTTAAATAATGACGGGGGGAGTGAACTATGGATTACTTTGCAATGATTTGCATTAGTTTGCCTTTAACGTACAATTCTGGTTTATATAGGATTGAGGGTATTAGTTAGTCTTTGGCTTACATCTCTAGTTATTATTTTATTTGGCTTATTGCCCATTCATTACACAAAATATCGAGGAATATTACATCATTTTATATTGTTAACTATAAACAAAAAAGCAAGGGAAGGTATCCTTGTCTGACTCCCCATACAAAAAAAATAATTCAGCACATTTGATTTTTGTGACCTTGAACTAAGGTCAAGGTCATCAACGTTTACAAAATTGAAATCCAATCACATGAACAGCCTACTTGCCAAATATCAAGACCCAAGGACTTTTGGTCATGAAGAAACACAAGTAAAAGGAAAAGTGTAAAGAAAGCTGTGTTTTTCTTTTTTTTTAATCAAAAGTGTTAGATGACAAATTTAGCGGCTGTCAATTTTCTTGAAATTCCTGACATTGAAAGATATTATTAGTTGCTAACTTTTAAGCAAGTATGAGATAAAGACTGGTTTTAGAACTATGTAAATTAACGTGTCGAAAATGGAACTTTTCTCATTAGTAATGAAATTTCACATACTTTTCTGCTTAAATCTTCAATAAAAAGAACAATTCTTTCTTGAAATGGTTTAATGTTCAGTATCAAAATAACAGTTGGAATATGTTGCACACGATGATGATATAATTTTATAGTAATTGTGTTTTTTAAATGCTCTATGAGGAATTGTATTACCGAACCTTTAACACCCACACAGGTGTAAGTCAATGAGGTCCCATTTATCCTAAAATGAATTTTGAAACTAACGGTTCCTGATTTAAGCTTTCTATACCAATACCTTTTTTGTATTTATCGTGTTTTGAAATTCCAAGCGGGGGCCGACGCTAATGTTAAATCTCCATAGGCGTTGATCCTACCTTTACATTTTTGTTTATATTCAAATGAACATGGTAATTTCTTTGAGACTGATGTTTATTTACTGTCAGATGATTTTATCGTTTTCTTATTTCTTATAACAAGTAAGGTGATCTCTTGTGATGCAGGCGTATACAATGGGATACAGTGCATCCATGTTACAAGCGTATAAGTAGGGGCGACATCTCCTATACAAGTGTAAAAGTAAAGAAGAGAACTCTGAAAAATCTGATACAGTAATAAATGAAGAAGAACTCTCATACAAGTATTTAGGAATCACAAGCATGCATTTACAAAAAGGAAGAGAATGCATTATATGACATAGGGAAAATGACTGCAAAGCCAAAATATATCTGGTAAACTGTGCTAACCAATGGATAGGAAAAAAATCAAGATATTGACATTTTTACTGCGCAGAGATAGCATACACATTAACTGGAGTAAGGATATTTTAGCTTAGACATTTCCTTGTCATTCCTTATCGTTTTAGATTCAGTTAGAAGCAGTCTGTTGGAAGTTAACAAAGACAAATTATATTATATCATATGTCCTGGAAATGACACCCTTTCTCCCGTCGGGAAGAGGCTCTTTCCTCACGTCATTGCTGATGAGTTTGTCCTCGTTGTTTCATCTGAACATTGCGAAAATGAACAAATCACAAATATGAATCTACACCAATTATATTTAAACCTGACGTCATTATCACCACATAACGTCACACAAACATTATCACAACATGAAGTTAGTGCTCGTTTTTTATCATTTGAATAACTGAATATTTGAATGTCACTGTTACTTAAACGCTTGGAATATCAATATATTAGCGAAAGGTTATCATTAATAAGAAGGAAATATGCTATATTTCCTTGTTGAAAACCTTCTATTTCCGAAGTAGTAAAACTGCATTACATAAAAGAAACTCGCTTTCCCTTGCTAGCCCTGCCTTTGCGTCCACCGATTGCGCCACTACCCTGGTGTTCAGAATGAGTCGTCTTGTGCACATGCCCCTGGCCTTACGAACGTAACATATCAACACACACTTGCAGTATTCAGTTTAACAAAACACTCACTGAAAAGTCATTACAGAATATAATGTATTTATTTCTGTTTCCATGGGAAAAACATGGAAAATCGCTCTTTATACAGTATTACAACTGAACACGCGGAAAGCGTAAGCTAACCAATGCATCCCTAAGAGAGAAAAAAATATGTCACAATATTTTTAACTCTGACCAAATTCGCTACCCTATCAGCTAACCAAAGTCCATCCTTCGGCAATTTTTTCAAAAAAAAGTTCACATCCGATCTTATGATGACCAACCTTAATAACCTAAGAAGTGCTTAAAGTTTATGCTAGCATGATGGGGACAAAGAACACAACTTCTGATTAGGTAACTAAATTAGGAAGAGCGACCGTATTATATTTGGATCGAATAACGATCTTCGTCCATTCAATGTTAACTCTCAGAATCTATAATGTCTTTATGATATTGTCAATACATATCTGTAATTCTTGCAGTGTAAGGGGAATCTTAATTTAGAAAAATAGGGTGCACTGCTTAAACCTTTATCCCTTTATCGGCATTAACTAATAGTCAATCTTTGCCAGATCCAGGATAATCCATTAAATATTTCTTCGAATTATTGTACAAACTTTTGGATAGATATATTCTGGATTACTAATTTCTTTAACTGGTACCCGAACGAGTTCAGACGACGAACGTAAAACCATAACATATGATCAACGACAATAAGGTGGCTGTATCTAAGCCCGTAGGACAACATGCTATAATATAAACTCACCTCCAGTTGGTTCCAAATAAGTTTGCTTGTTGTTATCATCATTTTGAGTAGCACCACCTAATGAACAAAACAAATACGCAATGTAGGCAACAAACAAATAGTATGATAAAAATTAAACAGAATCATTAAATAAATGTTCAATTAATTGAATAATCCATAGCAAATTAACTTGTGTAATCTAGGACAATACCATTTGATCCATCGATTGTAAGAATAGAATGAAGAATATAATGAAAAAAACAAATTTTTAAGCAACAGTAATGTTTTGAACGGGTAAACATGCGTCGTTGTCAGACCACGATTTGAACCATGAATCTTTCGAATCTTAACGGTAATTATTTCTACCATATCTCGATTAACTCGTTAGCGTTGCTTAGATGTCGGGTTTTTATATTTTGACACATCAATACCGCCTATAAGGTATATGTTATTGCAATATTACATTATTACATATGCTTTTAAAGTGTTATTCTCTAGGTAAGCTGGGATAAAATTTCCTTCCTCCAACAAGGTGAATAAGTGACCAAGGCATTGTACAGTTGCAAGTATTATACTACGTTTTCATCCATCAACAATGTTTACTTCTAAAATGTTTTTGGTGTTGATGATTGGTTGTTGATATTTGGTCAGTTTGATCCCTTTTGGTACTTGAATCAGACCTGCAATCGTAGCCGAGATCCATATCTTATTCACAAGTAAGGTGCATGTTTTAAAACGTCTCGCTTAATTTGATTGAAATCGGATGACTTTATCGGGACTTCAACCGCGTTCCTCGATCTTCATTTCAACATGACTAAAATGGACCGCTCACTGCTAACATGTAACATCAGCGAAGCGATTTTGATCTTCCCATCATATCGTTTTATTTCAAGTAGCAAAACCTATGCCTCATCAGCCTACTGAAAACAAAAGATACATTTTGCTTTTGACAAGTAAAATGCATACTCCTAATATTGATTTTGTTGGGATTTGTTTTTCTTTCTGTGTATCCATATTCTGGAAACGAACAAATCGCCGTGATAAAATTAGAAAACAGACACCATTGTTACGTCGTCCATGGATGGTAACTATGGTTTGAAGTTCGGGGTTGGTAGTGTTGCCTTGGATGTTTTGGCTGAGTTTGGCATCGGTTTTACCTTGACCAATATAACAAGACATTAACAGCACTCATTGTCACACGATTACGGAGTAGCAACTTATATTGCATGTATGCATCTTTCATACTGTGGTCTATTAAGCAAGGATATTTTAGCAAATGGTGTTTCCTACGCATCGGTATTGTTAATGGACTTTATAAAGTACCTATATTAGCAAGAACCACACTTAATAAAGGACTATGACAAAAATAAATTAAAATACGGAACGCCAATTTTACATTTAAATAGATAGTCATTCTAATCACTTTCTTGTTCTAACGTCATTTCGTCAAGAGGTTTGATCAGCAAAGTTAGTGTTGTCACAATCAGGTCAGTTACGTCACAATGGTGATCTTTTGATTAAATAATGTTGTGGTGTCAAAATACGTATGGAAGTCTTTATGCTAGGCAATGGGAGGTTGCAGAATAATTATAAATGTTAAATATCTATTTCACGCATATCCCTTTTTTTTACATAAATTGAAACACAAACATGCTGTATTTTAAGAAGCCCGGGCTCAAGATATAAAAAAAAGTCATTTTAGGACCAAATAGTCAGTAAACGTTGCTTGTCACCAAGTGTCGCATCCAGTGTTCATTTCCCGAGAAACCATATTTCATTAACTGAAAACACTTTATAGATCAAGCAGCCGATTAAACCATTTCTATAAAAAATAGCATGACATATTTCAATATAATTCTGATATGTAAAGAATAAAACATCCATATCATATATGTTCTGGTAGAGTTAGTTTCCAACATGCCTAGTTGTACGTGGAACCAAGAACTAGCTCACATGACTCTAACTTATGTTAGCTATGTACTTGTTCATGTACTAAAGTAGCCATATGTACCGGTTTACGTGCAACTTTGAACTGTCATACTTAAGACTTTGATTATGATCCAACTTTGAATATATATATATATTTGACCATTGTCGATTAATAATATCTACAACCGGTAACTGAACGAGATATGAAACGAACGTAAAACCGTACCATAGGATCAATGCCACAAACATAGCTGTATCTAAGTCCGTTAAATATCATGCTAACGTACCTCTGTGTGGAATAATCTTTATATACTCGCTATCATCTGTGAAAATGATATACAAATAAAATAAATAAATATACAACAATTGATATAGCGCCCTATATAGCTGACATAAGCCACTCTAAAGCGCTTAACAGTACATAGATATACAATTAATACAATTAGCATATACATTAATCAATTTAAGTTTAAGGAATTTGCAGGGACTGCCTTATCAGGCGCTATCTACTAGTCATATGCCTCCTAACTAATATATCCCTATGTGTGTATGCCTGCATGTGTGCTGGAGATGTAATGCGTTATGTTTGTAGTGGGACCGTGCTTCCAATGGCATCATTTGACATCCAATGGCATTGCCTGTTGTCTAATCCTTTTGTTAACTCAATAAAATGTGTCCTTAAATCAGACCTGCAATCGTAATCGAGATCCATATCTTATTCACAAATAAGTTGCATGTTTTAAAACGACTCTGTAAATTTGATAGAAATCGGTAGCACATTTCGAGAAAAGATCGTAAATGTGAAATGCTTATGGATGGCCGACCCATGATGAACGACAAGGAAAATGCGTTGACGCAAAAAGCAAAAGCAAAAATGCATATACATATTACTAAACAAAACTTAATCACTCTTTTTTTTCATTTCATTTACACTACCAGACATTATACCAAAACGAAGGAATGACTTCGTTTTATTATCACGATATTCCAGCAGACTAGTTTTTCCTACGGAAATAATATATGGCTGTCTCCTTACTGACAATTTTGTTGTTGTCATATGATGATGAAGTTTTTGATGACTTTATCGGGACCTTAACCGCGTTCCGCGATCTTCATTTCAACATGACTAAAATGGACCGCTCACTGCTAACATGTAACATTTGTTATAGTAATACAAGCAATTTTGATCTCCTATCATATCGTTTTATTTCACGTAGCAAAACCTATGCCTCATCAGCCTACTTAAAACAAAAGATACATTTTGCTTTTGACAAGTAAAATGCATTATCCGAGTATTGATTTGTTTTTCTTTCCGTATTTCCATATGCTCGAAATGAACAAATCGCCGTGATACAAATTAGAAAATAACCAAAAACGTTACCGTCGTCGCCATTGTTACGTCGTCCATGGATGGTAGCTATGCTTTGAAGTTCGGGGTTGGTAGTGTCGCCCTGGATGTTTTGGCCGAGTTTAGCATCGGTTTTACCTTGACCAATATAACAAGACATTAATAGTACTCATTGTCACACATTTACAGAGTAGCAACTTTTATCACATACCTGTTGAATCTTGTTATAGTAATACAAGCAATTTTCAGACCATGGAATACAACGTTCTGTATTGCACATGTGCAATACGGAGTTTTGTATTAACCAAATAGCCGGAATTACTTTTTTATGGGAATCCCCTTGTCATTGCGAACTGAAAAGTTCCCGGTAGCTGCAAAACATATCATGTTTATAAAATCTTTGTATCGATCTCTACCAAATACGGAAGGTATGTGATAAAAGCAAGACCACACACTTGTGGTTTTCTAACGAATCAGAAAACACTCATTTATTGCGCGGTCGTATATATTCACTTGTGCGCACCGCGCACTTGTGAATATATATTCGTCCGAGCAATATTCTCTGCTTTCTGATTCGTTAGAAAAACACAAGTGTGTGGTCTTGCATATATATTGCATGTATGCATCTTTCATACTGTGGTATATTTAGCAAGGATATATTCGCAAATGGTGTTTCCTACGCATCGGTATTGTTAATGGACTTTATAAAGTACCTATATTAGCAAGAACCACACTTGATAAAGGACTATGACAAAAATGAATAAAAATACGGAACGCCACCTTTACATTTTAAATAGATAGTCATTCTAATCACTTTCTTGTTCTAACGTCATTTCGTCATGAGGTTTGATCAGCAAAGTTAGTGTTGTCACAATTAGGTCAGTTACGTCACAATGGTGATATTCTGATTAAATAATGTTGTGGTGTCAAAAATACGTATGACAGCCTGTATGCTTTGCAATGGGAGGTTGCAGAATAATTATAAATATTCAATATATATTTCACGCATATCCCTTATTTTCACATAAATTGAAACACAAACATGCTATATTTTAAGAAGCCCGGGCCCAAGATATAAAATATCTATTAAGTTATTTTAGGACCCAATGGTCAGTAAACGATGCTTGTCATCGAGTTTCGCATCGTACATTCATTTCAACAGACACGTTCGTTAACTGAAAAAACTTTACAGATCAAGCAGCCGATTAAACTGTTTCTATCAAAAATAGCATGAAATATTTCAAAATAATTCTGATATGTAGAGAATACAACATCCAAATTATCTATTTACAAAAATTTCATATTGTCTTCGAAAATGTAGCAATTAAATATTACCAGGATACAATATAGCACTTGATCAATATACATTTGACCTAATCTAGGAAGGACGTGATGAAATGTGTACAAAAGTTGTAGGCGCGGGAAATACTGTTCGCACAAATCAGTATCACAATCCCGATTGTCAATATTAACATTTTAGTGTATTATTATCTTATAGTAGATCATGGGAAATCTAGAATAAACTTCTTCTGTAGTTCTTTAAACGACTGACAAGTCAGGTCTGGTCTACCTCCGTTATAATGGTTTATTGTGGCTACTGATATTGCATCAACGTTGACTAATTGTTCTGGTAGAGTTCGTTTCCAGCATGCCTAGTTATACGTGGAACCAAGTACTAGCTCACATGAAGCTACACTCTGGATTATGTTAGCTATGTACTTGTTCATGTTTTAAAGTAGCCATATGCACCGGTTCACGTGCAACTTTGACCTGACATACTTAAGACTTTGATTATGGTCCAACTTTGAATATATATATATATATATATATATATGTATGACCATTGTGGATTGAACATATCTACAACCTGTAAGTGAACGAGATCAGAAACGAACGTAAAACCGTAACATAGGATCAATGTCACAAACATAGCTGTATCTAAGTCCGGTGAATAGCATGCTTACGTACCTCTGTGTCGATTTATCTCTATATACCCGTTGCCATCTGTGAAAATGATATAAAAATAAAAAAAGATAATATAGAACATTTGATATAGCGCCCTATATAGCTGACATAGGCCTCACTAAAGCGCTTTACAGTACAAAGATATACAATTAAATGCCAAATTTGACACGAGTTTGAGGAAATATCTTCGAGAAATACTCTGAACAAACAATGACAATATTTTGTTCTTTCATTAAGTTTTTGATCTTTTACACCAGACAATAGGCAAAATGCGAGCCTACTAGATTGTATTTACTTTTTGAAATTGGTCAACTCTAACAGGTCAAATAATTAAAAAAGAATAAACTGCCTGAAATATAAAATGAAAACCAATCTTGTGTCTGCAGACAAAGCAGAGAATAACACTATCTTTGTCTGCAGACAAAGCAGCGAATTGCACTATCTTTGTCAGCATACAATATTTTATTTCCAGTTTTCAAAATGAACTAAATTTCTTGATCGCAAAGGAAACCCGTCATTGACATTTTCTGAATTTCCGAAAGACGACGAAATACCAGTTCATTATTCACCCATATTAAAATAAAAAGACCAGTATGTTGTGTAATGCATACTGAAACTTCCTAAGAATCTATACAAAGTTGTGTCAGTATCTGTTCTAGCTGCTCAACCAAACCATTATCCAAACGTCTCAATTACGTTCTTAGCATATTTTAACCTGGTTTGCAGTCATATTGTGACAAGGTTTACTCAAGAGGTGAAATAAATGGAATATGGAAAATTCAACTACTATTTGATCAAGGATAAACATCTTCTCCTCAAAAATAATTTATTTAGTAATGTTGTAGACTTTTCAACTCCTTTCACTACCAGACATCATACTAAACTGAAGGAATTAATTCGGTTTCCTATTTTGAGAAGTTGTTTTTTTCCGGCAAAAAATGCTAATGACGATATACATTTATGGTTATTTATTCTTTTTGACGAATAGTTTGTAACCAGCACAACAAAGGATAAAACGAAATATACTTAGGCTTTTATTGTGAATATGAGTTACTGATTACGATATCTTTGTTGAAGTCAGTGACAAGATGTTCCAGCAGACTGTAGCCATTCCTATAGAAATAATCTATGGCTATTTCCTGACCGACTTTTTTTGTCATATGAGGCTGACTTTTTAGTGATGAGTTTATCGGGACTTCAACCGCATTCCTCGATCTTCATTTCAACATGACCAAAAATAACCTAAAGTATGATGGATAATCCCCATATTGATGTTGTTGGGAAATATTATTATTTATCTTTCCGTATTTCTTAATTTCGAAACGAACAAATCGCCGTTATAAAAGTTAGAAAACAGACAAAAAACGTTACCTTCGTCGCCATTGTTACGTTGTCCATGGGTGGTAACTCTGTTTTGGCGTTCAAGACTGGTGATGTTGCCTTGGGTGTTTTGGTTGAGGTTGGCATCAGATTGATCTTGACCAATTTAACAATATGTTAACAGCATTAATTGTCACAAAAATTACGTAGTAGCAAATCATATTACATTTATGCATCTTTCACACCGTGGTCTATTAAGTAAGGATGTTTTAGCAAATGGTGTGTCCTACGCCTTGGTATTGTTAACGGACTTTTCAAAGACCATATATCAGCAAGAACCACACGTGATATAGGATTAACAAAAACATTACTTAAAATGCGTAACGCCTATTAACATTTAAATAGATAGTCATTCTAATCACTTTCATGTTGTAAGCGCCATTTCGTCAAGAGGTTTGATCAGCAAAGTTAGTGTTGTCACAATCAGGTCAGTTAACTAGTAGTGTAGTGTACAAATACGTATTGCAGTCGCTATGCTTTGCAAAGGGAGGCTGCAGAGTAATTATAAATGTTAAATATATATTTCACGCATATCCATTTTTACGTAAATTGAAACAAAATTATGATATATTTTGATAAGCTTGCACTCAAGATATAGAATAGCTATTAAGTTGATTTAGGACCCTGTTCTATGGTCCAGTAAACGTTGCTTGTCACCGAGTGTCCCATCGTACATTCATTTCCCCAGAAACAATAGTTTATTAACTTAAACACATTACAGATCAAGCAGCCGATTAAACCATTTCTATCAAAAATAGCATGAAATATTTCAAAACAATTCTGATATGTAAAGAATAAAACATCCAAATTATATATTTACAAAAATGTCATGTTGTCTTCGAAAATCTAGCAATTAAATATTATCAGAATACAATACAACTTGATCAATACACATTTTACCTACCTAGGAAAGACTTGATGAAATGTGTATAAAAGTTGTAGGCGAGGAAAAAACTGTACCCACAAATCAGTAGCACAACCCCGATTGTCAATATTAACCTTTTAGTATATAATTATATTATACTAGATCATGGGAAATCTCGAATAAACTTCTTCTGTTGTTCTATAAACGTCTGACTAGTCAAGTATGGTCTACCTACGTTATAATGATATATTATGGCTACTAACAGTGTATAAACATTGACTAATTATTCTGGTAGAGTTCGTTTCCAACATGCCTATTTATACGCGGAACCATGTACTAGCTCACATGAAACTACACTCTGGCTTATATAAGCTATGCACTTGTTCATGTACTAAAGTAAGTTTATGTACCGGTTCACGTGCAACTTTGACCTGACACACTTGATACTACGAGTATGGTCCAAACTTTGAATATATATATGTATGACCATTGCGAATGAATAATATCTACAACCGGTAACTGAACGAGATCACAAACGTAGTCAGTAGAATAGCATGCTAACGTACCTTTGGGTCGATTTATCTCTATACACTCGTTGCCATCTGTGAAAATGATATACAAAAATAAATAATCAAATAAACAACATTTGATATAGCGCCCTATATAGCTGGCATAAGCCACTCTTAAGCGCTTTACAATATAAAGATATACAATTGATACAATTAGCATATACATTAATCAATTCAATTTTGGGGAAATTCGCAGGAGCTGCCTTATCAGACGCTATATACTAGTTCTATGCCTCCTGACTATTATCTCCCTATGTGTGCATGCCTGCGTGTGTGCTGGAGATGTAATGCGTTCTGTTTGTAGTGGGACCGTGCTTCCAATGGCATCATTTGGCACCCAAAGGCATTGCCTGTTGTCTAGTCCTTTTGTTAACTCAATAAAATTAGTTGAAAACAAAAATGGCATAATTTATAGTTCCACCTCACTTGAACGCTACAGCACATATACCGCAACAACAACCCCAGACCATTTTATACTCCACCTGGGTTGTTGGAGTTGTGTGGGCAGGAGAAAAACACTTTCTCTGAATATCCATACGTACGACGACTTCGGAGATCGAACCCCGGCTGCCTGTGTAGAAGGTCGGAGTGTTAACAACTCGACCAATCCGCCCATATATCGTTTTAAATAGCACAATCTTATTAACAAAACAAATACGTAACGCAGATAACAAACTATGATAAAGTAAAACAGAATCGTTCACAGATGTCCTATGAATATATAATCCATAACACAGTAGTTGATTTTATCTCGGACAAGGCCATCTGTTCCGTCAATGGCCAGGATTAATGGCTTTTTCAGTCGCTAAAAACTCTTATATTAAAGCAACATAACGTTATAATAACATAGTTACGTTATGTAAACACAAAGTAGTATTCCTTCTCGTGTCTAATGAGGTTGAGAAATTAATATTTTTAATAAATTAACAATGCTATCATGTCAAGGATCCTTGATCTCATAATTTGTTTGTTTATGTTTCTTCAGCTCCTGTCTACGTGACAAAACAATGAATATGTAACAAGAATTTAAATTCCGCGGTATGACGAAAATGTCTTCAGATAATGTGTATAAAGCTTGGGGACAGCCTGTTCTGTTGCTTGAATTTGGACATTAAATAATGCTGCTTTGATCTCAACATAAATAATATGGATATTTGAAAGTGTATGATTTATTCATAAACAAACTACAATGCTCTCGAATTGACATTATTTTAATTATATCATCCTTTTAAGGATCCAAGTATCAATGCAGACAGAGCAATAGAAAAATCCACTGTTTCTTTTTTACAAATACATTAAACTCTCCGAAGTTTAGTCTTTGATAAAGCTGTAGTGGGACTAGGTTCCGGGAACAACCCGTATTAACATTAATCAGACAATCGAGTGTTCGAATCCTTGTTGGCTTCCCTTCATTTTTACTCATAGAAAGCTGATGCTTTTTCGCGTCCGTTGTTGTTTTTTAAATCTAAAATCATTTTTTTTTTCTTAAAATATAAAATTATAGATCAATTTCAGATATCAGTATTCAAGTTATTGTTATGTCAATATAAAGCTTCCAATCAGAATTGATTAAGATCAAACACATAGATGGTCAATGAGGAATAATCAATTGATGGCACTGATGTAACCTCATATTGCAATGACGTCATAAACGTCTTGATGGCAAATTTGACACGAGTTTGAGGAAAATCAATATATTCTAATCACATAATAATATTAGCATGTCTGTTAACGATTCCTTGATACAGTTGAACAATGCTTGCTAGATAACCGGATCAAACTAATTTCTTAAAATATTACGCCAACCGGCAATAACCTTGAACTGTTACCTCGATGTCATAGCTTGCTGCAATGATATGTCAATGCACTCATTAACGTTGCGTAGATATCGGGTTATTATTTTGACATATCAATACCGCCTATTAGTTATATGATATTGCAATAATACATTATAATATATACTTACAAAGTGTTATCCCCAAAATGTACCTCCTACAATAAGGTGAAAGGGTGACCCAGGCGTAGTACAATTGACAGCTTCAATTAAGTATCATACTACCTTTCTATCCATGAACAATGTTTATTTCTAAACTGTTTTTGGTGTAGGATTTGTTTGTTTGTTGAAAGTTTGCCGATTAAATTCCTTTTGGCTCTGGAAACAGACTTACCATCGTTGCCGAGAACCATCTCTAACCATAATTTAGGTGCGTGTTTGGAAACTTCTCGCTAACTGTTTTGAAATCGGTTGAACATTTCCGAGAATAACTCTTAAATGTGAAATGTTTAAGGATGATCGTCGGGCGTTGACGTAAAAAGAAAAAAAGAAAAAAGCATTACTCACTCTGAGTTTGAAGCTCGTGATGGGATTGCATGTCATCGTCAATGGTGGCATACTCATGCTCCTGCTCTATAATATAAATATAAAACTGGATATAAAAACAATACTATCAGAACTCAGTATATATCTTCGAGAAATACTTTTTACAAACAATGACAATACTTTGTTCTTTCATCGTGTTTTTGATAGTTTACACCAGACAATGTGCAAAACGCGAGCATACTAGATTGTAGTTAGTTTTCGAACTACAGCAAGTCAAATAATTCAAAAAGAATTAACTGCCTGAACAAAAAATGAAACCAAATCTTGTGTCTGCAGACAAAGCAGCGAATTACACTGTATTTCCTGCTTGCAAAATGAACTAGATTTCTTGAGCGCGAAGGAAACCCTTCATTGACATTTTCTGAATTTCCGAAAGACGACGAAATACCAGCCCATTACTCTTCCATATTAAAATAAAATGTAATTGATACTGAAACTTTCTAAGAATATCTACAATGTTTTATCACTATCTGTTCTAGCTGCTTAACCAAACCATTATCCAGCGTCTTGATTACGTTCTTAGTACAATTTATTCTGGTTCGCAGTCGTATTGTGACAAGGTGTACTCCAGAGGCGAATTAAATGGAATATGGAAAATTCAACTAATATTTGATCAAGCATGAGCATCCTCTCCTCAAAGATAATGTATTTAATAATGCTGTAGATTTTTCAACCCTTACACTACCAGACATCATACTTAACTGAAGGAATGACTTCGTTTTCCTATTATGAGTGGTTGTTTTTTTCCAGCGATAATTCGATGATCGAACCCAGGCCGCCTGCATGGCAGGCCAAAGTATCAACGCGGAAGAGGAACATGGAAATTTAACAACAGTTTACTAGGGGATACTGAATATGTAAATATAGTTAAGAATGTTATAAAAGATGTTATTGTACAATACAGAGTAGACGAAAATGACGATTTAGAAAATGCTGAATTTTGTATTAGCGATCAATTACTATGGGAAACTTTAAAACTAATGACCAGGGGAAAAACGATCAGTTACTCATCTTTTAAGAAACGAGAACGCGGAAAACAAGAAAATGACCTAACAGATAAATTAAAAGAGTTATATAATCGAGACCAAACTGAGAACAACGCACAATTACTTAAAGATATTTCGGAAACGGAGGGTAAACTAAAAAAATTAAGAAATAAAAAAAATCAAAGGGATTATAACCAGGGCAAAGGTGCGATGGAAAATCGAAGGTGAAAAAAGTACGAAGTATTTTTGTAACTTTGAAAAACGACAATACAACGAGAAAATGATTCCAAAATTAATAACAGATGACGGACAAGGAGTAAACGATTTACACGAAATACTTAACCAGCAATTAACGTTCTACTCAAACCTGTATACAACAAAGGGAACTATGTTTAATGAAATACACCAGGAAACTTTTTTTAATGATAATAATCCATTCATAAAAAAACTCACTGATGAGCAACGCGACTCTATGAACGGTGTACTTAAGGTTGAAGAGTGTCTAAAAACATTGAAAAATATGAATAATGGGAAGTCTCCAGGTTTAGATGGATTCACCGTAGAGTTTTATAAGTTTTTCTGGATAGACATAAAACAATACATTTTAAAATCTCTTAATCAAGCATTTAGTAAGGAGGCAATGTCAATCAGTCAACGCCAGGGACTAATCAAATGTATTCCAAAACAAGGAAAATCAAAAATGTACATAAAAAATTGGAGGCCTATTACGTCATTGAATGTGGATTATAAAATTGCAGCATGTACCAGGGTTATAAATGATGTAATTGAAAAATCAGAAGAAAATGATCAGTCTGGCATATTGCTAATGTTGGATTTTGAAAAGGCCTTCGATTCCATTGAGTGGTCATTCATAGAAAAAAGTTTGCGTTTCTTTGGCTTTAGTGATTACATTATAAATTGTTTTAAAACATTCTATTCTAATATCACAGCTTCTGTTGAAAATAATGGTCACCTCTCCACCTTTTTCCAAGTAACACGAGGAGTACGACAAGGAGATCCTCTGTCTCCATATCTTTTCATTATCTGTATTGAATTGCTAAGTGCAGCTGTAACATATGATCCTGATGTCAAGGGAGTAATCCTCAAAAATTCTGAATACCTGATAAGTCAGTATGCAGATGATTCAACATTGATACTCGAGGATGACCAAAGGTCTCTAGTTAAAGTGTTATATTTGATCGACATCTTTGGAGAATGTTCTGGTCTGTTCTGAGGAGATAAAATCTGGAGCTTAACAAAACGTGGACTAGAAGAAATAGCTAAAAGATACAATTTTGGTAAATTTTGGAAAGAAATTTTATCAATTTGGGGAAATCTGTACGAGCCTCTCCCAGCAGCCCCTGAAAACGCACTCTCTCAGCCTCTATGGTTTAACAAAGAAATACAAGTAAATAGACAAACAGTCTTTATAAAAACATGTGTGATGAAGATATTTTTTACGTTAAAGACGTAGTAGATGAAAATGGAAATTTTCTGTCTTTGAATGATTTCATTCAAAAATACCAAATAAATATAAACTTTATGAACTTTAATAGCATTATTAGTGCAATACCGAGAGGCTGGAAGAGAATGATTAGAGATTATGGAAAAATATCAATAATGTTGCACATAATTGAAAAAAAATGAAAAATATTGAAAAACCGTCTAAATATTTTTATAATAAAATCATGTCTACTGTATTGATTTATCCACAACAATCCCATGAAAGGTGGCACACTATCTTAGATATTTCTCTGAACCAAGACGAATGGGGAAAAATTCACTCATGTCCCTTTTACGAGACAAAAGACTCGAAATTACAAAGTTTACAATACAGAGTCATTCACAGAATCTTTTTTTACAAATTCCATGCTACTGAAGCGAAAACTATTAGAACATGAAGAATGCAGCTTTTGTAGTGGAGAATCGGAAACAATATATCACCTTTTTGGGGGTTGTACACATAGTCAATCGCTCTGGACATGTTTTATCAACTCGGTTTTACAAAAATATGATATCGTTTTAGAGGAAAAACCTGTTACTTTCCTATTCGGCATTATTGACAATGTTCAACTGACGGGATTAAACATATGCATACTACTGATTAAAAAATATATATCTTTAATGCGACAATACCACAACATCCCTGACTGGGAAAGTTGTAAAATATTTATAAAAGATTATAGAAATTTAGACCTATATTCTGTCTACATGATGTCTCAAAATGCAGCGAACAAGACCCGGCAAAAATGGGAAAGTATCAAGGTTATTCTAGAATGAACTAATAGTACTTAACTACTTGTTTATATTGTATTTCTTCTCCAGGAACCTTTGTAAACATGTAATGCACTGATGTGACTAATGCAATAAAAAAATGTCAAAGACAAAAAAAAAGGAATGTCTGTGTTTTTCTAGACAAAAAACGTTATCTGATTCTCTGTGTTACCTTGTTGACGTTGAGACTCCCGTTTGCTGTTCAGGACGACTACGAGTCCAAATATAACCATCCCGAAAGCAACTGGAAAGCATACCGCAAGGACGATAATCAGATTATCATCTAGAAATAAACAGACGTGGATATAGACTACAAAGAGGACTTTGCTGATAACCTTATAATAATTGATAAAAGGTTATGGAAATTGAGAAAGGAAAGGATTCCCGAAATAAACGGCGAAGTTCACAGAAGAAATACATGTTAAATTGATTATAGAACACAAAAATGAATTATATTTCCTTATTATTGTTTCGTAATATGTAAGATAGAATATGTAACATTTTGAAATAGTTTTAGTCACACTTAAGTTCCGTCTCCAAACAATGTATACTTCTCTTGACATGTCTTGAAAACGTTATTTATTTCAAAGAAGTAGTAGTGAAATCAGAATTACACAGAAGCATAACACGGCAGTGACAGTCCCTAGCTTGCAAACGTTATATTTAATCATAGAAGTCAAGGTCAAGGGCAAAAACGTGATTTGTTGGAGACCCTTGTCAAACAATAAGAATTACCTAACATTATCTGCTTCATTGGCAACATCTTCAAATGTCATTTTAAACATAGGGCAAAACGTTAACAAAGGAAATGATTTAAATTGAGACCATTTGAAAGAATATGACCAGATGTTTTCCGGAATGATAAGCGTCCTCAGCCTCAAAGTGTGAATAGGGATAGTTAATATTATTATCATCAATCACCTTCACAGTACACCAAAGATATATTTCTAGATAAGCGATTAGGAAACTTGTCCATATTGTATCAGTATACATCTGTAGCAGGCAGTTACATAAATTAAAGTGTAAATTCAGAATTCGAAGAATTAAAATAATTACACTCTTCGTATAGCACAGCTCTAAGCCATCATGACTTTAGTAAGTTAAGATCAAGGAAAGCGGGCATCGTAACTAGAAAAAAGGGAGGTTGAAGACACCAATACCATAAACATGTAATGTAAATACTGTTTAAAGGGGACAAATATTTTAGGAATCGATGCAAACGGCACTACATTGAAAACTACTATGTTTCATTACACCTACAGATTCTATGTATAACGACTTAACCCCCCTCCCCTTATTTTATGTCGGGCAAATGTTATTGAACTGCGCATACATTTGTGACGTCATACGCATGTACACACCAAGTGAGTAATACTAAATGGTGCACAGTACGACAAATACCGGTTTATAACTTGCATAATAACTATAGTTCATATTTTTTTCTACTGTCTACTTAATTTTCCTACACTCTTAAGCAACACATTGTTGACCTAGACACATTTGTTTTGACATGGTGTCAGGAATGATACGATAGCAGTGGACACGCTGTAGTGCTAGTTCTCTCAGCACACAATCAATTCATGATACGTATAGTCTAAACACTGATGGGTTAAATGAGTGCTTATCGTATGTTATGCAGTCTCAGAAGTTATCTTGAATCTGTTGCGCAGACGCGACAACCGAATTCCCTGGTTATGTCGAGTTGTCGATACATGTGAACAATGGCTCCTGTGACAATTAGAAACTGACCAGGCAAATGTGCAGAGATACGACTTATTTGGACTGAAAAACAGCAGACAGCTGTGACACAACAGTTTGTCTGGTATCATGTATCAATATAGCAATCACGATGAGTCTTTTAACTTACAGTAAGACAGCTTTTAACCTACAGTAAAACAGCTGTGACACAACAGCTTGTCTAGGATCATTTATCAATATAGTAATAACGACGAGTCTTTTAACTTACAGTGAGACAGCTGTGACACAACAGTTTGTCTAGGATCATTTATCAATATAGCAATTACGATGAGTCTTTTAACTTACAATAAGACAGCTTTTAACCTACAGTAAAACAGCTGTGACACAACAGCTTGTCTAGGATCATTTATCAATATAGTAATAACGACGAGTCTTTTAATTTACAGTAAAACAGCTGTGACATAACAGATTGTCTAGGATCATAAATCAATATAGTAATTACGACGAGTCTTTTAACTTATAGTAATTTGAAATGTATTTTAATGTCAAAATCAAAATATATATTTGTTTATGACTGATGTGGCTCCATTGCAGTAATCGTTGTGAAAATATAAGCCAGATCAGCTAATTTTGATTGTTTTGTTTTCCAATCAACAATACAGATTATGAACAAATTGATTATCTAATAAAATCCTTTAATATTCTGTTAGTAGAAATAGTTAATAATCAAAATAAGAAACATATGTATTTACCTTCAGAGTTGATCTCGAAGTTGACAGTTAATACGTTCGGTAAAGTATTAGTGACAAACAGGTTGCATTTGTGTGTTATTCCTTTCTTCGGGATCCTGAACAACCCCCTGGCAGTATACATATTAGTGTTGTTTTGTACCACATCAAGTGCTCTCACTCCATCAGACCATAGAGTCAGGGGCTTTGGGTTAGCTATCACAGTTACTTTGAGTAGAACAAACTGACCCTTTTCCCCTGTCACTTTGATAATGTTATTCGAAGAATTATATCTTCGTGGGGCGCCTACAAAAAAACCACTGCATGGACAATGTCATACATAGATGTAACTTATAGATTCAAGCATATGTAAGTATTAAGGAATATGTGTTAGAACCGAGACTATACATTCCAAGTCTGCACTCGCGGTTAGAGTTCCAACATACAACATAACTACATATACGGCATAAAGGAGTTGGGCGAATTTCGAACATGACACTAAAAGTTAAAAGAAGACGTTCTTTATTTTCATTTTTCTTAACAAATTGTTTCTGGTAAGATAACTGAGATAAGAAAAGAAAAAAAGGAAACGAATGTTTTAAGCGCTATTTTGCGAATTGTAAGCATTTTGTCATTAGAGATACACAGTATATACTTACAACTGACTTGCAGTCCAAACTGCATTCTCGAGGCATTGGCGGTACTTTTATTCCGAGTAACGAAGTTGGCCGCCCTGACGTCATACCTTCCCGTATGTTTGCACTGGAGGTTGTCTAAATTGATGTCATATTTACCAGTACTGACAGGTATGCCAACTGCGAGCGTTGTCTGGTTTCGTAATAGGGTGACGTCAGCCAGTGGGCTACTTACAACATCAACACGGAGTTCCAAGCTGGAGCCTTCTGTGTATCTTACTTCATTACTGCCAATTTGCATGTACTGGTTACCAACACCGTCCAGATACCTCAATTCCGTGATTCGGGGAGTGACTGTGGACAGAGAGAAGAACTTTCTGTATCAGAAATACAACTATATACGAACATATACGATAATATATAAATTGCAAGTGGTTTGGTAGAAAATATCAAGTAAAAACTGTTTGCACTGAATCTTGAAATCATGGGACAGCTCGGTAAAAGATTCGTTCTGATTTGTTAATACCAAAACTGATATGTCTCACTCTCTGACATGTAACAAGTGCGATATCTATCGCAGTCTGATAGTATTAGATTGCATATTGATCAATCATTTTTTTTTTCTATTCACTGCATTAAAAGCAACATATTTTCTCTTCATGCATATGAATCAACCATTGTTTATAGTTTGTTTGCTGTACCTTACTTTCACAAAGATATTTACCTAAATGGAAAATCTTTACTTTTTTGTAAATAAATCATACCATGATATAGCATTAAATTGTAAAATTATTGAAAACTAGCATGCAGCTTTGTCAGTTGTCTAGCTAGTATGATGTTATTAGATTATTTTGCTTTGGTAACATTTAAATTATTATTCTTGTTACATTAAACATTATCAAAAGAAAAATATGGATGTTTCTGTTAGACGCCATATATACATTATATGAATTATATGGTCCGAAGCATGACAGAATCATATTGATATTTTTATTCTCTGTACTCCTGGAAATATCTACATTTTCCACTTTGTTTTGAAGAGTATACAATAAATCTAATGAAAAAAACAACATAACTTTGCTCCGTATCTTATATGTAAAACACTGATGAAAACGTTGTACGTAAATGTAAGATTTCGACAACACAAATTAGGTAATGGATCTTAGATTTCCATATGTTTCATTCTGTCATAGATATACCTCGGCCCTTAAGGGCCTCTCACACCTAACCGAATATGGTCGTCGGAGCTATACCGGAGCACATTTTGGCGATTTTTGGTGATCGGTACTAGTACGGCAGCGCAAAGGTAACACATCGCTAACAACGGTAGCACATCGTCAGGACCCCGTCAGAACATCGGCGAAAAGTTTAACAACGGCAGCCGACGGTAGACATTTTTGAACATACTCAAAAACTGCCGTCTTTGTGCTGCCGGAGCGAGCAACTGGACTACCACGGCAGTACATCGGCAGTACTCCGGTATGGCTTTGTTAATGTCGGTAGAGCACCGGTAGCGTCCCGTACTTTATCGACGGCTCTCCGGTGGCATCAATGTGTACCGTTCTGGTACCGATGTGATACCATAGTACTACCGAATACCACCGAAGAAGTACTTATGCGCCGCCGATGTTTTACGATGTACTACCGTAACATCGACAGCGCAACGGTATCACTCCCCTTAAGCCCCGGTCAACGTTTGCACATCGTTAGAACAACGGCGGCGCCTCGGTATAACATCGGTGGCTCATCGGTAATACAGAGGTATCAGAAAGGTGGTATTCGGTAGCACATCGGCTCTTGCATAGGTATAACAACGGTATCACAACGGAATCGCCGGTACTACATCGGTATTGTTACGGTACATTTTTATTTTTTCAAGTACTTTCTCACCGGAGCTCTGCCGATTTTCTCGCCGTTGTTATTCTTTTGCTTAGGTTTAGTCCCGACGAAGTACATCGGAGCAGCAAATACGTAAATTCATAAAAAAAACCTCACTTATGTTGCAATAAGGGTCAATCCTATATTGCATCTAAATTTAAAGTTTTAAGATTAACTAATATTTCACCTGTTTATGTTTGTTGCCGTCACAACGATCTCATGAAGGCTGTTTATGTTTTGTGCCGCCACTACGCTCTCGGGTAGGCTGTTTATGTTTGGTGCCGTCACTCCACTCTCGGGTAGGCTGTTTATGTTTGGTGCCGTCACTACGCTCTCATTAAGGCTGTGTATTTTTGGTGCCGTCACTACGCTCTCATGTAGGCTGTTTATGTTTGGTGCCGTCACTACTCTCTCCGGTAGGCTGTTTATGTCTGGTGCCGTCACTACGCTCTCAGGTATGCTGTTTATGTTTGCTGCCGTCACTACGATCTCATGTAGGCTGTTTATGTTTGGTGCCGACACTACCCTCTCAGGTAGGCTGTTTATGTTTGGTGCCGTCACTACGCTCTCCGGTAGTCTTTTTTATGTTTGGTGCCGTCACTACGCTCTTAGGTAGGCTGTTTATGTTTTTTGCCCTCACTACGCTCTCGTGAAGGCTGTTTATGTTTGGTACCGACACTACCCTCTCAGGTAGGCTGTTTATGTTTGGTGCCGACACTACCCTCTCAGGTAGGCTGTTTATGTTTGGTGCCGTCACTACGCTCTCAGGTAGGCTGTTTATGTTTGGTGCCGACACTACCCTCTCAGGTAGGCTGTTTATGTTTGGTGCCGACACTACGCTCTCAGGTAGGCTGTTTATGTTTGGTGCCGACACTACCCTCTCAGGTAGGCTGTTTATGTTTGGTGCCGACACTACGCTCTCAGGTAGGCTGTTTATGTTTGGTGCCGACACTACCCTCTCAGGTAGGCTGTTTATGTTTGGTGCCGACACTACGCTCTCAGGTAGGCTGTTTATGTTTGGTGCCGACACTACCCTCTCAGGTAGGCTGTTTATGTTTGGTGCCGACACTACGCTCTCAGGTAGGCTGTTTATGTTTGGTGCCGACACTACCCTCTCAGGTAGGCTGTTTATGTTTGGTGCCGACACTACGCTCTCAGGTAGGCTGTTTATGTTTGGTGCCGACACTACCCTCTCAGGTAGGCTGTTTATGTTTGGTGCCGACACTACGCTCTCAGGTAGGCTGTTTATGTTTGGTGCCGACACTACCCTCTCAGGTAGGCTGTTTATGTTTGGTGCCGACACTACGCTCTCAGGTAGGCTGTTTATGTTTGGTGCCGACACTACCCTCTCAGGTAGGCTGTTTATGTTTGGTGCCGACACTACGCTCTCAGGTAGGCTGTTTATGTTTGGTGCCGACACTACCCTCTCAGGTAGGCTGTTTATGTTTGGTGCCGACACTACGCTCTCAGGTAGGCTGTTTATGTTTGGTGCCGACACTACCCTCTCAGGTAGGCTGTTTATGTTTGGTGCCGACACTACGCTCTCAGGTAGGCTGTTTATGTTTGGTGCCGACACTACCCTCTCAGGTAGGCTGTTTATGTTTGGTGCCGTCACTACGCTCTCAGGTAGGCTGTTTATGTTTGGTGCCGACACTACCCTCTCAGGTAGGCTGTTTATGTTTGGTGCCGACACTACGCTCTCAGGTAGGCTGTTTATGTTTGGTGCCGACACTACCCTCTCAGGTAGGCTGTTTATGTTTGGTGCCGACACTACGCTCTCAGGTAGGCTGTTTATGTTTGGTGCCGACACTACCCTCTCAGGTAGGCTGTTTATGTTTGGTGCCGACACTACGCTCTCAGGTAGGCTGTTTATGTTTGGTGCCGACACTACCCTCTCAGGTAGGCTGTTTATGTTTGGTGCCGACACTACGCTCTCAGGTAGGCTGTTTATGTTTGGTGCCGACACTACCCTCTCAGGTAGGCTGTTTATGTTTGGTGCCGACACTACGCTCTCAGGTAGGCTGTTTATGTTTGGTGCCGACACTACCCTCTCAGGTAGGCTGTTTATGTTTGGTGCCGTCACTACGCTCTCAGGTAGGCTGTTTATGTTTGGTGCCGACACTACCCTCTCAGGTAGGCTGTTTATGTTTGGTGCCGACACTACGCTCTCAGGTAGGCTGTTTATGTTTGGTGCCGACACTACCCTCTCAGGTAGGCTGTTTATGTTTGGTGCCGACACTACGCTCTCAGGTAGGCTGTTTATGTTTGGTGCCGACACTACCCTCTCAGGTAGGCTGTTTATGTTTGGTGCCGACACTACGCTCTCAGGTAGGCTGTTTATGTTTGGTGCCGACACTACCCTCTCAGGTAGGCTGTTTATGTTTGGTGCCGACACTACGCTCTCAGGTAGGCTGTTTATGTTTGGTGCCGACACTACCCTCTCAGGTAGGCTGTTTATGTTTGGTGCCGACACTACGCTCTCAGGTAGGCTGTTTATGTTTGGTGCCGACACTACCCTCTCAGGTAGGCTGTTTATGTTTGGTGCCGACACTACGCTCTCAGGTAGGCTGTTTATGTTTGGTGCCGACACTACCCTCTCAGGTAGGCTGTTTATGTTTGGTGCCGACACTACGCTCTCAGGTAGGCTGTTTATGTTTGGTGCCGACACTACCCTCTCAGGTAGGCTGTTTATGTTTGGTGCCGACACTACGCTCTCAGGTAGGCTGTTTATGTTTGGTGCCGACACTACCCTCTCAGGTAGGCTGTTTATGTTTGGTGCCGACACTACGCTCTCAGGTAGGCTGTTTATGTTTGGTGCCGACACTACCCTCTCAGGTAGGCTGTTTATGTTTGGTGCCGACACTACGCTCTCAGGTAGGCTGTTTATGTTTGGTGCCGACACTACCCTCTCAGGTAGGCTGTTTATGTTTGGTGCCGACACTACGCTCTCAGGTAGGCTGTTTATGTTTGGTGCCGACACTACCCTCTCAGGTAGGCTGTTTATGTTTGGTGCCGACACTACGCTCTCAGGTAGGCTGTTTATGTTTGGTGCCGACACTACCCTCTCAGGTAGGCTGTTTATGTTTGGTGCCGACACTACGCTCTCAGGTAGGCTGTTTATGTTTGGTGCCGACACTACCCTCTCAGGTAGGCTGTTTATGTTTGGTGCCGACACTACGCTCTCAGGTAGGCTGTTTATGTTTGGTGCCGACACTACCCTCTCAGGTAGGCTGTTTATGTTTGGTGCCGACACTACGCTCTCAGGTAGGCTGTTTATGTTTGGTGCCGACACTACCCTCTCAGGTAGGCTGTTTATGTTTGGTGCCGACACTACGCTCTCAGGTAGGCTGTTTATGTTTGGTGCCGACACTACCCTCTCAGGTAGGCTGTTTATGTTTGGTGCCGACACTACGCTCTCAGGTAGGCTGTTTATGTTTGGTGCCGACACTACCCTCTCAGGTAGGCTGTTTATGTTT